GTTTCTGAAGAAATTTTCAGACAGTTCAGAGCAACACAGAAAGACAAACCGTGGTAACACTGACAGCAAATGTGGTCCTCAATAAACGATACCTAAGAACAACCAAAACAAGATCTAGCAGAAGAACAAGCAATACATCAAAACGAGATACAGACACAAGCACCTGACCAACATGAAAAGGACAACCTCACCCATAGCTCGCCGGAATGCAGGCCGAAGAAGCTTTGCCCCACCCACCGCCTGCAAGTGGCGCCACGGCACAATGGGAAGCGAAGCGCAAGGAAAGCGCCCCCACCCACAACTCTGCCCCGCCTGTTGCCTGCCACGAACAACATCGGCCGCACCCGCTGCCTGCCCAACAACCTCCGCCCCACCCACCGCCTACGTGCGGCGCAAAAGCAAAGCAGCGGCGAGGAAACTGCCAGCGCCACCGCGCGATGCAGAGAGGATTGGGCTGCAACCTAATCCTCAACCACATCCACTACCGCAACCAAATTGACACCCACAACCCAAAAAAAACCCCCAAATCAGAACGGAATCAGTGAGAGGGAGGCGGCGCACAGAAACGACGAGGGGCGGAGCACAAAGGTCGCCTCTCAAATCGCCCGACGGCGAGATAATCGACATGGAAGAATACCTCTCCCCTTCCCTCAACACAGCACACAACAACAAAATCTACACCACCACCAGCTTTAAAGCGGAATCGAATCGCACCTTTGGCGAGAGTCGCTGACGGAGAAGAATGAGCAGTCAGCACGAGACGCACGACCTCTGGATCCAAAATAGCCTCTCGGATCGCCTCGGGGCGCCTGGTGAAAGGAAAACTAAGCGGAGCTGAAGAAGAAGGTGAGCGGTGGGCAGTGGGGAAATGAACCAGCGCGATTCCCAATTCAAAACAGTGAAGGCACTACCCCACAGTGTGCGGCGCCGACAAGATGACCCCACAAGGCAGAGACACAAAAAAAATTGTGTGCCAGGAGGAGGAGAACCACATGTGTGCTCTATAACAATCTCGTAGAAATATGACTTCTCCATGTTCCTCCTCATAATCATAATACAAATTATTAAAAAATTGTCCCATTTTTGCCAAATGTTTTTCAAAATATCTTTAGCTCCATCGAAAAAGCTACTCCATGTGAGAAGTCAGAGCCATCTTAGGAGAAATCAGAGCCATGCCAAATTTCTGTCTCAGTCCCGGCTCCACAAAAATCCTGGCTCGCCACTGCTCTTTAACATATCTACCGAATTGTCAATGAGTTTAGTATGCATTAATACTTACGGTTACGGTTACGGTATCGCAGACAGAACATATGACAAATCAGAAGTCGCGAGGAGTACAGTACGTACGAGTAGGACCGTAGGAGTAGGTCCGTGACCGTGACCGTGAGGACGCCGTACAGAAACGTCGGTGCTCACTGCTCAGTGGCCTGGGTCGTCCTGGAGCAGAGCAGGTGTACTATAGCGGCAGGGCTGCATCGGTCGTGCTGGAGAGTGGAGTACATACAGATACAGTGCACACGTCTTTGCCTGCCACAAAATCCACGCATTCAATGCGGGATCCGAGACCAGCGGACCAGCCCGACGCTGTGGACTTGGAGCCGCTGTCCGAGAGTCCCGCTCCAATGAGGCAATCACGAATGAGACGGAGTCGGGTCACAAGTCGCTATCCTCTCCTCTGTGGTCTCTGCATTTAGGTTTAGCCATTTACTGTGAAGCTCTATGCTTAATGCTTTGACGTGCTGATGAGGAGATATTGGGCTGTAGTCTGTAGACCAGGCGCTCACGTCACGTCCAAGCGCAGCAGGACTGGTACAGCACTTTGTATTTGTGCCCCCTGCTCAGGTTCTATGATTTGATTTCCTCCGCTTATCTCAGGTGCTATGTGTTTTATTACTCTGATTGATTGTCCTGATTTTGTCGAGACCGCCATCGGCCCATCGCACTCTGTTCACCCTGTTTCAGTTTCAGGACTGCGTATCAAAGATCTTTATAAGTTTCATACTGTTCTAATCTCAGCTAATACATGTTCTCCACATTTTAGAAATGATGGCAATGACATTCTTTTAATAGTTCAGTAAAAATATTTTGATTCTCTTTTGTGCACACACAGGAATACAGGAGCCAGCTATTCCTGCCGAGGTTTCAAAGTGAAAAGGAGCCAAACAGCACCACCCCACAGTGCCACGGTCAACCCTACTCTCACTGTCTGCTCGCCGGTACTTTCAGGACTGCGTATCAAAGATCTATATATTTCTGATTCTCAAAAGGTTACGAATTTGGTTGGCCTAAAATCCTCGCCCCCCGCCGCCCCCCGCCCCCCCTATATATTTCTGATTCTCAAAAGGTTACGAATTTGGCAGGCCTGGAGCTGTTATCGGCCAATGTTGGAGAGCATTTCTACTACCGGCGAGCAGACAGTGAGAGTAGGGTTGACCGTGGCACTGTGGGGTGGTGCTGTTTGGCTCCTTTTCACTTTGAAACCTCGGCAGGAATAGCTGGCTCCTGTATTCCTGTGTGTGCACAAAAGAGAATCAAAATATTTTTACTGAACTATTAAAAGAATGTCATTGCCATCATTTCTAAAATGTGGAGAACATGTATTAGCTGAGATTAGAACAGTATGAAACTTGCTCATGATGTACTCCGAATAAAGTGTCATGTTGTACACATTATAACTGTATATGGATATCTATATGTATGAATACATGATGGTAAGAGTGAGGCAGCAGTGAAATATCAATGACACTTTGCAATGAGGGAAGCAAAAGACTCCGAGAACCATGTACTCCACAATTTGTTTATCAGATCCAAATTTAGCAGTGTCAAACTGCAGTTGACCTGTGGAAGTCTGTTTTTGTAGACCCTAAAAATATGGACATTGTTTGCATACATTTTAAAAAGAACTGGCATATCCAAATATAGCTGGAAAAGCAGCATATGAGGCTGGGGGGGCGGGATGTGTTTTATTTGAGGAAGGTGACATGGGAACTGGTATACCAGAACATACTAACATTGAATACATATGGAGGCACTCTTAAAAGAAACCATATATTGAAGCTGAAGTTGTCTATGGCAACTAAAAACGTCAATATGAGGAAGGCTGTAGTTAGGTTCACATTTTGAGATTGACCTTGAACTGTAGAAGTAGGGAAAATATTGACAGGAATAATTGGCAACCTGTGAGAGCTATTGGGTACATAAGCAAACTATTTCAGTTAGGGAGAAAACCTTTTATATCCAGGCTAGACATCTAAGATGGGAAAACACTAACCTTGTATAGGTACGGATGTTAGGTCTCGGTTCCATCAATCCAGCTTCCTATCCTCATCTGAAAGAATGCCTGTAAGCACAAATGCAGGGAACAAATGATAGCACAAATACAGGGAACAAATGATAGCACAAATCATAGGAAGCAATAAGAATTTGGTTTAGTCAAGCCCTTTACCACAGTTTGCAGCTTTCCATGACCTGACAAAGGTAGGCACACTTCCTAATATATGTACAGTAGTGGCGTACAGAATAGTTTGTCCACAAAATAGAGGAGGCCGTGGACAATCGACATTCACGTGCTCACGTCCAATTGCATATAGGCTCACATCCGTATTTACAATTGTCAAAAGGAAAAAAAAGGAGGAAAAGGCAGCGTAGACAGAGGCAGCTGACATGCATGTATAGGTGAGTAATTGATTGCGCGCACACATATCTACAGCCCATTCAGCACATATCATCATTATAGATGGGTAATTGAGTGTGCGTGCACATATATTTTTACATACATATATTTTTACATATAATTCGTTAGCTGTAAGGGTGCATAGCACAGCGGCAATTCCATGTATTGCATGGTGTTTAGATATTGTTTACCTGCGGATGCATTCTGCACTTTGGATCATGTGGTAGATCGTGGATGTGACACTCCCGTTAAGTTTTTTGTAGTTCACTCCCCGTCTGTAGAGCACGTAGAACGTGATTGCGAAGGAAGACAAGCTCTGCTCTTAATCTTCCTTAGTAATGTTCGTTATGCATAGATCCAAAGTTAGTTATACGATAGATAAGAGCGTATATATTTGGGTGTACAAAAGACTTAGTAGATAAGTAATGATTTAAGAATATTTTTCTCTTAATGAATCTTCTGCTTAGCCTTACTACATTTTATGAGTATCTATTTTTATCTCTAGAACATCATTATTACCTTACACTTATCATTTATTTATCACTTGACTTACACGTACCATAGCATGAGAGTGGTTTTATCATAAGTATACATCTTTATCAATATCTCTATGCCAACACAACCCTATGGCTCATCTCTGTGGATAAAATATAAATAACGATACTCGGTATACTTTCGGCTAAAATGCTACAATGGTATATTATCTGTACACTTATGGATACCTTATATATATAGTTTACAAATGTTCTCATAACTACCAACAACGCATTTCTGACATCATGCTAGGGATGACAATTTAGTTAAAAGTGGTGCTAAGAAATATCAGCAGTAGACAACTGTCAAAAATGAACGAGTAGCTAAGATTAGGGGTATTGGAGTCCATGGTGACAATGGTATGCTCCGGAAGAAACGATAAGACCGTACAATAGCGTGGGTCTAAAAAATTCATTCTTCTCTATATCATCCATGAGCAGTTTGAGCTTCATCTGAAACACTCGATCAACAATATCAGGTCTGTCAGATGCTTGCTGGTCTGGTATGAACGATAAGGCATCCTGAATTTCTGGCCACAAAGCATTGCATGTGAATGTGATAAACAGGTCCGGACATCCGAATCTGCGACATATTGCAACACAATCTTGATAGTTCTGGTAGTAGTATCTTGGGCTTCCTGTGAATGAACCTGGTAAGAAGGTTACCTGGCCAACATCGGAGGCATGAGCGACGCCACTATTAGCAGCCTCAACTAAAGCTTTGCCTCAACTAAAGCTTTGTAGGGACGTGACCTATATTTTTTCTGGAAGGATTCATTTCTAAAATGCCTGAGTCACTCAACTTCAACGCAGCAGTAGGCATCAACGATGTATGCTTGTGTTAGCCTGCTGCAACGTAGAGGGGTGTTGAAGTCATCAGCTCTATCATGCAGCCGGTATGAATAATATTCTGCCATGGTGACCTTTTTTCGTTTGATGTTGTGAGAGCGAGGACATGGCATGTAGTGAAGATCTTCATGGAATCCATCTTCTCCATATGGAAATAACAACGGATATTGCATTGATATGAACTTGCAATGTGCCTCGCTTACTCTTTGTAGCTGAGATGAGTGATCCTGCACTATTAAGTCCCGGCCCTCCTCGCTGTTACCTAGGCCATCGACAATCAAGCCTACGACCTCTGATGCAACTGGGTCGCTGTAGATGTTGCCATGTTGTTTTGGAGATGAGAACAGCTTGATGGAGTATCGGTCTTGGAACTGGTCAGATATGTCATCCGCAGACAGTCTATCACGGGCGGCCCGAAATATTTGCACAATGGGGTTGTGTGTATCAAGCATGGCTGCCAAGGCAATAACGATACTCTGATTTGGTTGGAAGTTACTTTCCTAGGCCTCTGCAATAGTGATACGATTTTTAATTTCATTTGTGGTATCAATTCTGGTCTCTTTCCATGTTCTGGGATCAGTGAACCTATTCGATGGCAGATTTGGCCGCTAATTTTGAAGACATAAGGAGCACGACCATCATTAATATCGTTTATGACCTTGACTCCCATGGAAGTCATGGCAAACATGGAGTTGTACCGTCTTATGTTGTCGAAGAAGTGTCTTGACAACGACAGGGACTCTCTGTCTAAAAGGCGCAGCAAAGGTTGTGGAGGAGCTCTGTACACAGGCAGAGAAATGCTTCCTCTGCAACATCTGTTGTATGCTAGAGCAGATGTGCGGCCGTGGCCACGTACGCGCTCTTGAAGCCAGAAGCGAGCACCACAGTGTCGGCACGTGCAACTTGGCCCCCCCAAATAGAGTGGAGTAAAAATGGTGCCTACAAGCGGTGTTATTAAGACCGAATGGAAAAAATTTAGCAATAGCCGTGTGAAGTTCCAAGCAAATAGAGGTCAAGGTCTTGCATATGTACACCGTAACTGAAAAATGTGTTGGGGGTTGGGAACATGCTTTGTGAATAATTTGTGGGAAGGCCTTTATGGGCATCATAACAGGCAGGTTTTTTTTCATGACAATTCTAATTTTGGCCCGTAACATTGGCGTTTGTTGTGAAGACATATATGGACACCATAACAACCACTTTAGTTTTCTGATAACAATTTTTAGAACCTTGAGAGGGGCCACCTTCGTCGTTTTCGGAAGCAGCAGGTAATGTACACCTCCTGCGTTTGGAAACGCTGTGGTGGTCGGAGTGTTCATGAACGGAACTGTAGGCAGCTGCAGGTAGGGACCCATAGAGTTTAAAGAATGCATAGGTGCAACAGTAGACCTGATCATCCACAACATAGGTAGAGGAAACATTACCCTGGTATGGATTGTCGAGATGAACACGTCGTCGCCTGCGGCCCGTGTCCATGGTGTGCTGCAATTTGCAGACAGATACTGCTGTTATGGAAATCAGAAGACGGAGACCCTTAAAAAAATTCGTCGGATGGTATTGATGACGGAGGAATGATTCTAGCGGTATAGACGACGAACTGTAAAGGGGGGTGCTGTTACCTTGCGCAGAGATGGAGGGGAGCACGCAGCAGGCAAGGCTACCAGCGAAGCAAGAGTGGAGGAGTCCGGCTGAAGCGTCACTGGGCGCTTCGGCTGTGGTGAGGACGATTCCGTTGGGCTACATGTGTCCTCCCCGACGACGGCAGGATCGGAGGGCCTCCCATGCCCGCTGGACCGCGTTAGCCGGTAGGCAGGCGGCCGCGGAGGCCACGCGGCGGCGCGCAGCGCGGACGTACGCGAGGCAACAGGTGGCGGAGTGCAAGACGGACGCGCACGGGACGGCGGCGGCGGGCCAAGCCTGGGGCCGGGGCGTGCGGCTACGGCAGGGTGTCGGCAGCACCACGGGGCGGCGGAGTCGGAGCTGGGATCCTCGCGACGCGGGGGCGACGCGGCGGCGATGCGAGGCCGAGGATGGGCATAGCCGAGGGAGGTTTTCTTCTTCTTTTTTCTTTCCTCGATTCAGCCCTTATTTAGTTCCACCAACTTTGCATCTCCAAAATTTACACAGTGCAAGATTCTCCATCACGTTACATCATATCATATCATATCTTAAACATATTCTTTTATATAGAAAAAGTATTAAATACAAGATCAGTAGAAAAGGCGGTAGGGTAATTACGTGGTTTTGAAGAGGAGTTATACTTGGACGCGTGGACGGGTGCTGACGAATGTTTTGGGAACAGGAAACTAATTAGTAAACAGGATCGGTTAAAGCAATTATTGAGGATATGCAAACTACCTTGTCCACTACAGTTTACGGTGCTTTTTTGAATGCCCTATATAAAACCGAAATGCTATAAAATTTGGACAAACTAAGACCTCAGTAGAAGAGGAGGCGGTAGGGTCAAGTGTGTGCGTGGTTTCTGAAGAGGACGGGCCCTGGTTGAGTTGCCTCCACCCTCCAGAAGGCTCGCTGGACGCGTGGACGGGGTGCTGGCGGTGGCACTGTTCTGGGAACAGGAAACTGAGTGTGCGGACTGTACGTAAACAGGAATCTGTGAGGGAGAGCGTGGTATATAGCATTGAGGATATAGGTAGATTACTACTGTAACCTTGTCCACGGACCACGGGTGCGCTGGAAGAATGAGGTTTTTTTTTACTTGTATGACCCTATAAAAAAATGTCTCTTCTTTCGTAGCCTTTTTATTTTTGAACTTGCATGTATGGCTCCAAAACAAAATTCTCTTACTTTTATGGCCTTCCGTCCATTTTTAGCATTTGACGGTGTTAAGTCAAGGATAAAATAACCATTTTACCTCTGACGAAAAAAATAAGATGCATAATTTTGTTTGTCTGTTGTACATTAAGAGTAATATTATGCAAATACGTTCATACATAATTGTTTGATGGACTTTTTTGTGAATTCAAAATCCTCTGAATGTACGCATATGCTAGTATTCGTGTGTGCTAGTTATGTAAATAAAATATATATGAAAAATGTACGTGCTTGTTCATGTACATGCATCGGAAAGAAGCTAGCAACAATTGCATGGGCTTATACGTTCCATGCACACGTAAGTATGTTCATGACGTGCAAATGGAAGAAGCTAACAGCCGCAGCCAACAATTTGAACCTGTTGTAGAGTTCGTACGTACGCCGGTCTGTGTCATGTATTTCCGTAGGATTATATACGTCAGCTGAGCTGCGAGACAGCCGGCGCGACGGGGTCCAGAACATTCTGGAGCCTTGGCCAGATATACGCGCAGCAGGCAGGTTAATGACTTGATCAACGGGAAGGTTAATCCCATCATCATCCCAGGCCCATGCGTCAGGGAACAAGATACGTCCGCGAGCTTATCCAAGTAATCCAAGGCTTCTAGAAGGGTTACCACGTGAAGATAACCACTCCAGATCTTGTATACGAAGAAAAGAACCGGCTCCGGATATCTCTCGGGCCTGAACAAACTTTAGGCGGCCGTCGCTACGGAGGGCTAGAAAGGCAGCCGTCGCTACGGCACGGCGCCAGTAGCATGAACAAGACTAGGAGGCACGGTTGATTGGATCACCTCGGTCTCGGCTCGGTCGGATGCGATAGAGACAGAGAGCACAAGGGCAATTCAGAGTTGACGGCAGGTAAATTCAAGAAAAAATGCATTTTTTCCAGGGCAAAAAGCTCTTGAAGAATTGAGCTGCAGTCTGCATGGTTAACAAATGGAGTCCAGAACGCGAGGCCCAGCCCAACCAAAACAAGGGAAAGGGAGAAGCATGGGCCGGGAAGGCGCCAACTCCCGCCTTGGAAGGCCTGTGATCTCGCCCGCGAAGATCCTAACCCGCGTGTCACGGTCCGTGACCTGAACATTCGGCCTGGCTGGTAGTACACGGGTTAAGCGATGCGCATTTTCGTCATGCGCTACCGCTCCCAGCGCGCGGTACTATAGTACTCTGTGCAGCATACGGGATGACGAAAATGAGACCCACAGGTACTGTACATTCAATGAGATACACTCTGTCTCTGTGCATGGTAGTACTACCTCCCCGCATGTGCTTCGACTTCGAGTGCATACATACTCCTGCAGGGTAAACAATACAAAGGTACAGAAGCCGCGAGGTTTGACTAGCGGAGGGAGCATCTGCACCACGAACACACACGATCTGACGCCGCGTACGGGATGCTACGTATCGTTGCCAACTCCTACACGCGCGACTGCATACCGTGGAACAGGTAGATACATTGACTTGCGAGACAGCCCCTCGTGCGCACCTGCAGGGTGCAGGGGTTCGGCTCGAGCGCGCGTATGTGAGATGGCTGAAGAATCGCCCTGAGCGGCTACTGTGCCAGATTCGGCTTTTTGTTTGTTGTGGTCACTCACAGTACACGGTAGGGCACCTTCATGCACACTGCATTGTGCATTGGATTCGCGTGGTCAAGACTCGAGATTCAGGACGGTCTTGTTTTCGAGTCTCAACACAGAGGTTCGTCCTTGGGGACTGCTGACTGCTGCAGCTAGCACCAGTAGTAAACTATACTGATACTGTTCAACTGTGACCTACTCACTCCTACTGTACTGCACGGTTTCTTTTACTATCAGCGAAAAAAATGGTGCTCTATTTGCACTGCTATCGTTTCAACTCTCTCATCAACGAGCCTTGCCTTGCCTTGCCTTGATCCACATGCATGATCCAAGAAGATAGCTACTTAGCCCTGCATCCCTGGAGCAAAAGAATAAGCCCTGTCAGCGAACCATTGTCCAAGCCAGCTGCCAGCCAGACAGCTCGCTCAAATTCTCACCCCACGCAAGACCCCAAACCACACTACTGTTGACACGTTTGGTGTGGCTGGCCTCCACCTCGAACGATCGAACGATCGTATTCGTCCGCACGCACGCACGGGGTCGGCGGGAGACGCCGCATCGGGATCCAGCGAGCGAGCTCCGGCCGCCTCGCTCCAAGCCACGCGCGCGCATCCATCCACTCCACAGCCTGAACGTGAGCCCTTGTTCGGCGTCGTCACAACCGGTCCGCGACAAGGATCCTTGTCCACGTCCAGACCGAATTTTTTTATTTTTTTCCTTTTTTGAAATTTTTCTCAAATATGTTTCTGGAGGTAAGATTTTAAAATCCGGACTTTTTACTAGACGCCATCGTTGCTGGCGCCAAGGTTTTAGACTCGACGCAGACGTGACGGTGACTTGGTAGGCAGCTCGGCGCCATAGATCCTGGTGCCAAATTTGGACGCCGTAGATCCTGGCGCGAGCTCGGCGCCATAGATTTTGCCGTCGAGCTTGGCGCCCTGATCTATGGCCCCAAGGTGGTGTTTTAACCTCGATCCCAACCTTCCTGCCCAAGTCTTTTTCCTCTTCTTTCTCCCCCCTCTCGGGTTTTTTTCTCTCCC